TTGTTTTCAGGGTAAAGCTCAAATCTTGATTGCTCTTAGGTTTATTTTGATTTGCTTCTTGGCCTCTCAGATTTTCACGGGACACGCAAGATAGGGACTGCTGACACGTAGTGGTACAGAGATTCAACAAAATCAATCCAATTACATTATCAAAGACATTTCTTCAAAAAGAAAACCTGAGATCTCAGCAAATTTAAAACCATCTAATGCCTTTGAGATGGGAAATGTGAGAGCGCGCTGCTAACTCCAGCTTCAAAACCAGGCTAAGGCTGTAAGGCAGCATTGGTGTGACGGCTGTGATGTCCTCTGCTGAGCTGTGCCACCCAAGGTTGACTGTATCCTCGGGTCAGTTTGCTTCTACTGTGGCTCCAATTTTGTCTAATTTCTCCCAGGCCTCTCCTGATGCCGCATCCGTACGGATTCCTGCCTTGTGTTTGATGGCTTGCCTCTGAGCCAAAGCCTGTTCTGGTGCAGATATCTTGCGCTGAAGGAGCTATTTCCAGCTTTCCTCTCCTAGGGAGGAGCACTGCCTGCCTCACTGGTGCTCGGGGAAGAGGTTGGTGTCCCTGCAGTAAGGTTAAGGGCTACGCAGGTGAAAACACGAGTTATTTCTATTAAATTCCTCTACTTTCTTTTATTTGGTGGTTTTAAACTCCTCCCTTATCCAACTGGAAACCGCATTTTTCCTCCAGCTTTGCAATATCACCCTGCAGGTTCAAAGACAAAAATTGCTTATTTGAATGGGAACAGAATGGGCCAGGTGGGTCATAATTTCACTAAAACTTAGTTTTAGTGAATAAAAACTATGCTTCTGGACTATGTTATCCTGCAAGCGCATGCAAGGGCAGACGTAGAGGTGACTTAGGTGAGGTGGGTGTGCTGTGAACTGCACTCTGTCCTTACAGGCTTTGGGGAGAAACCTAAATGTTGAGTTCATGTGCAAAAAAGCTTCCCGTTTTTTTTGATATGGAAATCTTAGACGAGTAAGGGAGAATTTAATTAGTCCATTTTTCAGTCATTTGCTGCAACTTTTTTGCTGTGATAAATAATCCTCAGGCTTCTTTTCTGAAGGGCATTAGGGTATTTTTTGGGGGCAGGGGGGAGGTAAGGAGGGGGCCTTCCCCTTTTTAAGCAGCGGTTTTAGTCTCACCACATCTTAAAAAGAGTTGGGCTGTCCTTCCAAAGACCTTTTTAATCGTTGGTATCTCTCTCTGAAATCACGGCAGCAGAAGCTGCGTGTAATGCTCGAGGGGTTTTTTATTGTGCTTTATAATGTCATTATAATTTAGGTCCTTTTCTATCTCTTCTAATGCTCCCAAGCATTGTGTTTACTTTAGCTGCTGGGGTGTAATGGGTACCCAGCTATCTGTGCCGCCTCCTCCGAGGGGAATATGTCGAGGAAGCTGACAAATTCAGCGTCTCCATTTGCATTCATGAATACATTATTTGTCCTCGTGTGCATTTTTATTCACATTGAAATTCATCTCCCAAGCGACTGCTAATGTACAAAAGGCACTTAAATCCTCTCGGAGCTCCTCACGATCCTCGTTGGCCCTTAACAACCGGAGCGGTTATTCTCCGGTGGGGAGAACGTTTCCTGGTAGGCCCTTCCTCACTGCTGCTCCAGTGCAGTGCGTTGGGAAATGGGATGGTGTGTTTGTGGACTCTTTTATCTCTTAGTGTCCTATCATCTTTGCCCCTTGTCTGATTTTAAGTTTTTGTTTCCTACGGTTTAGTAGGTTCTTAAATAGTGAAACTATTTGATAACTGTTGTGCTGAGATCAGCTTCCAAGCTGGAGCGCTCTTCCTCGCTTTGCCTGGAGTGACCGACGCACTGACGAGCTGTCCGTGGTGATCGCTGCTGCCTCGTCGCATTAGTGAATCCACGTTGATGTCTTGCGTTGACTCACCCCTTGGCCTCTGCCACTGCTTGGTGACATTTGCAGTTGGGTGGGCTGCCTTCAGTGGCTGCCTCATGACTTCTTCCAACCTCCCTCCCTTCTTCTTAATGGAATTAGCAGAAGCGTCAGCTCAAAATTCCCAGTGGGACGTTAGCGATGAGTAGAAGAGGGACCGTTGAGCAGGAGGGTGGGAAGGAAGCAAGCCGAACAGGATGTCTCATCCCTATGGCAATGGCACATGGTCAGTCCTCCTAAACTTTCCTTTTGTGTAGGCTGTAATTTGGAGTGCGGGCATGGAAAAGCGACGATAGCTGCCTGATTCACTGAGCCTTGCTGCTTATGCATCTGATTACGTAGCTTCAAAAGCTGGGGGGTTCTTAAAACTCCTAGGAACACAAAGCAGTGCAGCCTTCAACTTGACGTTGAAGGAGTTGAATGAAATTTCTGCTAAGTGTGTATGTGTATCTCTCTAAATTCGGAAATTACCTTATTTTGAGCTGTTTTACCAGAGCTAACGAAAAGCTGTCATTATTCCAGGATGCACTTAGCACTCCTTTTGACACTTGCTGACTAACAGGCAAGCGGAGGCAGTCATTCTCCAGCAAGGCAGACTTTCCCATGACAAGTTGGATGTGTTTATTTTGCAGAATTTTTCACAAATTTTGCCGAGAGAAGGAATAACTGCAGAAACTCCTACCCGAGCAGGATAGGAGCCCTGAGCTAGCTCCTTGCTTTGCTATTGTAGGTATCAAGAACAGCAGCAGCTCCCTGTCCTCAGGGTGAGGAATTGGGAATTGGTCTTTGGCCAGGAAGGAAGAGAATTGTGTGTCTGAACATGTTAGTTTGGATCTTTTTCTTTCCTTCCCTCCAGCTCAGAATTCATGTTTTTGACTCCTTGGCGAATCACTGAAGTGGTGAGAGCTTGGTTGGAAGCTGGGAAGAAGTGGAAACACTTCCAATCTTGGTCAAAGCTGAGGTTTCAACTGTAGTGCGTTCTTTTCTTGGAGTGATACAAAGGTTTGTCTTAGTTGTCACTTGGAGAAAGCCTTGGATTTGTTCCTGTCTCTCGAGAAGGGTCCTTGGGGAGAAATTTATAGATGTGTGGTATCTTATCCCATACTTGCCTTGGAATAAAGTCTTTTATTTTGCTCTCTTGTATTGATATATATTGCCATTATCAACCAGTAAAATAGCCTGTCCTTTAATGCTTTAATTTTAACTCGGCACACTTTGTAAAGACAAAGATTGTTGCAGTTTCAAATAATGGATTATACTTCCCCTAATGTTTTTACATTAACAAGATTTTTTTTTTTTTTGGTGTGTGGAAGAACAGCTTCTAACAATGGTACAAGGATGCTTTTGGGGAACAAACTATGGAAGCAAATGTATGGATAGCCACCTTGAAATATAAGCTGCCCTTGAATCCTTTATTTTTAAATTGCCCTTTGTGCCTAGGAATGATGGTTGGGAACCACCAGGCTGGGAATGGTGGCCAGGAATGGTGGCTCTAGGGGAGCTGCAGCTGCTGTTTCAAAGTAAGTTGGAGCTAATTTGGGCAGGGAGGAAAATGGGAATTGCTTGGAAGCTGATACAGGAAAGGTGCTGGAGAGCTTCTGCTAGCAGAGAACATGGATACGGATCTTTTCCAGGTGTGCAGCTCTGCCTTCCCGTGGAGGAGACCCTCATGCCAGACGGGGCTTTTCCTGTGCTTAAATAATATAGTAGGATACAATGCTAGTTTGCACCTACAATGAAATTTTAGGTCAGTTTTGCTCGGAGAGCAACATCCGAAGCGCTGGCAGCCATGGCTCCGCAGATGCCCCTCTGTTGCAGTCGAGCTGTCGACGTCTCTGGCGACAGGCTGTTTTCCGAGGGGAAAACTAGTGTGTGTTTGTGGCTTTTCATGCACAGTCTCCTGAGACAGCATCCTTGAAACTTCAAATTTCTGCAGTGCAGAAATAGCAGGGCTTCCTCAGGGCAAATCTGGCTTTTCCAAGCTGTAAGGTGACATTTCTTTCTAGGGCTTGTACATATAGATGCGACTGTCCCAAAGAAACTGATGCAATACCCTAATACGATACCTCTTGTTTCCTCTGGGTTCAAATAACTTCAGTGATCTGAAAGGAGCTTTTTCAGCCCCGAGTTGATATTCTTGTTTGTGGTGTGATTTAGATACTCTCTGAATGTTTTGCATCCTTCCGCAAGCAGCGTTGGTGGAAGGAAAATGGTAGCACGACGGTGGAGCGGGTTGTGTTAACTCAAGGCTGTTAAATAGGGGAAAATGGTTATATTAAAAAGAGTTTCTCTTTACAGTGCTGTAAGTCTCTCTGTTCATGTTTGCATTGCTGAGCAAGTTCATTGTATTTGCCACCATGTATTTTTAATGTGAAGAAATATTTTAAATAATTCAGTTTGGGGCCACAGAAATATGTTAATTCTCTTTACTGGAGCAATAAAGTAGAGCTTTACACAACTTTCTAATGCTACTTACTCCAAATATGCTTTGGACTTCCTCCAGACCTGTCTTGGCCAGTTTATTCTCCTGCTTTTTCTAATTTCCCTCCTCCCCGCTCTGCTGGACCTGGACCAGCAGCCTGGCATGTTGGCCATAATCACCTGCTTGGTTCCCTCCAGCTTTTGCTGGGAGATGCTCTGCTGGGCGACATCTTCAAACCCAGGGCCTCCCACCGGCTTGCGCCCCGAGATGAGGTTTAATAAGCAGAACTTCCCCGCTCCAGTCACTTCTTCAAAGTGCTGTAAAGCAGCAAGAATAAAATATTTATTTGCTGGAAATGATGGCTGACTTAATGAAGCCAGCGCGGGCCAGCTGTCTTGGAGGCTGCACATACATGACTCAAGTCGGTGCGTGTACTCGTGATGGTAACGTTGCTTGTTTTAAGGCTTGTACTGATACAGACACGTGAGATATATATAAATATATTTATATATATGTATATATGTATGTATATGTATATATATGTATATAGTTACCTGAGGCATAGTTTGCAGTCGCCCACTTCTGCGGAGGTTTTTTGACCGATGCACTTAGCAAGTCTTGGTGTTTTTGCAGGGCTGCCTCGAGTGACGCGTGACAAGAAGATGTTCCAGCGGTTTTGCCCCTGGACACGCTTAGCCGTAGGGATCACCGTCGCCGCCGTGTTGGCAGGTTGCTTGGCCCAGAATGACGAAGGTAAGAGGTGTGGGACTTGGGCACAGTCTGGAGGAAGGAAGGGGGTTGGTTTTGGCCTAGACAAGGGTAATGCCTAGGGTAATGTTGTCACCACTTGAATCATCTGGTGAGTCCATTTACAAGCTATCAACTTTGGCAAGATGAAGAGAAGGGTAAGGCTGTAATAGGAACCAGCATTAAAATTCGTACATTGCTGTCTTCAAAACATGTTCCTTGCCTTGCTCTGCTTAGAAACGGAGTGCTGGAGAGCTTGGAATGGTATTCGGAGAGAAAAATTTGACCAGGTAGCGCACCGAGCTGGGGAAACACGTGAGAAAAGACCCCAAATGAGGGTTCTTTAGAGAAATCATATGTTAGAAATCCTAAACCAAAGGGATGTGGCTGCGATAGCCTGTGTTCATCCTAACCATGTCCTTGAATTTATTTAAGAAATACCAAAAATGTGTTCCACAATGTACCTGTAATAATCATAAAAAGATACAAATACTTGATGTTTTCGGAACAATTAAAAAGTGAAGACCTGAGTTTGATGGATACTTATCCTTAAGGAAGGGGTTGAGAAAAAAGGTGCAAGCATGGATTAATAATGTCCGTAATGAACCTGTATATTGTTTGTGAGTCCTAGGCATTTCACACAGGTAAGTTGTAATAATGTGCTCATCTTTACGCACTGTTCTCGCAACATAGTTTTCCCTTAGAGAACTCTGTGTTGATAGACACATTAGTGTCTATCTAGTGGATAGTGACAGCTTTGCCTTTATGGGAAAGCTACTGTCGCACTTGAGCTTTCCTTGTTTTCCTGCGTCAAGTAGAAAATACTCCTCCCTGCTCTATTAGCTCTTTCCTCAGTGGCCTTTCACTCCCTTCCACCCGCCAGCCCAAGCCCGTTTTTGCTTGCTGCTCATGATAAACAAGAAAACTAGTGAAACCTCCTGCCCTTGTGCGCGGCGGCGTCGCAGCGGTCGCTGGCGGCGTGGGGGGCTTTAGCTCCTCGACCCGCTCCTCGCCTGAGCGAGCTCCCTTGTGACGAAGGGCAGCGAGCGCGCGGGCCGAGGCGCTGGCAGCGGCACCGGGGAGGCCCGCGGGCCTCGTCCTCGTCCTGGTTTTGACCCGCAAGGTTCAGTCAACCAGGCAGCACCGATACTGGGGCAGGGAGGCGTCTGCTCCGCCAGCGAATGTTGACGATGGGGATCTTGGTTGAGGAGCAATTTCTATTTAAACTTCCATTTCCTGATTTAAAAACCAGTAATGGATGTACCTGAGGACTTGGTTGTCTGCTGTTGCTTGGGCTGTTTGGGCGCCTGTGCTGCTTTTTGGCTGTGTTTCAGTTGTTAATGGGAATGAGTGAACGTGGCATCACCTTGACAGGTAGCAATTGCAGCCAAAATGCAAATCGAGTGGCTTTTGCTTTATAATAATTGCCTGAACCATTTTGAGGTTTTTCTTCGCTTCTTATGTTAGAAGTTTGGAATCACCGTAGGAGACCTTTCCAAAAAACCTTTAACTCGAGTTGCCATGAAATGTAGAAGACGTTAAAAATTCAGAATTTATTAATGTGCATCACGCTCCAGGTAAGTTAACAGTTTGTCTAATCCCAACATCAAACTGTAGGTCCTGGCTAGAGGGAATGGCACAAGCCCAAGCTTGTTTTCAGTCTCCAACATGTAGTTTTTTACAGCACGTGTTGTTAAATAAGTTGAATCAGGAGTTGGGAATTCCCCTCACTTGACCAATATGCAATGAGCCACCTTTGACACGAGCTGGGGGAGGCATTGTGCTCTGCCCGCTCCAGAATGTGTGAAATCAGCTGAAGCAGAACGTCTAATATCTCCAAAGTAACATGGAGAAGTGTTATAATGCTTTAATAGTGGGGAAAAATGACATGGAAATCATTTCAAAACAGTGTTGTGGAGCTGGTGGTTCAGCAAACGCCATCCACGAAATGAGTTGATGTGTATTAAAACTAGTTAGAAATAGGTTTCTCAAAGCTGGGTATAAAACCGTGTCTCGCGCCTAAGTTGCTACCTGTCAGCTCAAGTAATATTTAGAGAGTGAAATAGTTTTTTGCTCATTAAACTAAATTCCCTGTAGCCTTCCCCTGCAAACCAGCTTCCCTTGTGATCCCAGGAATGGGGGTTTCGGAGGAGCGTGGCCCTGGCGCGCGGCCCGCCCGGGTGCTGTCCCCGTGCTGGAGGCTGTGCTGCAGTCTGATCCAGCTCGCTGCTCCTCTGCTCGTCCTGCCAACCGAGAAGGGCTCTTTGTCCGTGCCCAGGTGACACGCAAAAGAGTCTCGAATTTGCTCTCTTTTTTTTGCTTTTGAATTGTGCCAGCCGTAAATGTGCTCCGTGTTTCTTCTTCTAAGGTTTCAGTCAGATGAAGTAGCCGCATTACTCTCCGTTTGTAGGGAATTCTGTCACCTTTCCGTCCGAACTCCGTTCCAGAGCTCGGTCTGCTCGTTGCTTCCCTTTAGCCAGCTCCCTTCAGGCACTACTTCCACTTACTGGTACTAATCCATCTTTAGCAGCTTAATCGTTTCCCATGGGGCAGCTATAAAATCTCCTAGTGAAATGCAGCTCCCAGGCATCTGCTGCAGTCCCCTTGCTGTAAATAAATAATAGTTTCCTTGTGAAGGAGACGCATTCAGCGGCCTCGCTGTCTCAGTGTGCCATTGATGAGCCCGTACAGCGTTCCCCTCTATCGGGTTGCTTGTCTGCACTGCTCTCCTCCTCCGTCGTATGGCACGCCAGAACAAACCCAAGCCTGTGGGTGGATGGGCAGCGTGTTTCAAAACAAACACACGCACGACTGTTTCCGTGGCCAGTTTGGCTGCCTCTGGTGTGCTCTTTCCAAGCAGGCCAACTGTCACGCGCGCTTTCCTCCCCAATATTTTAGCTTAAATAAAGTAGAAATGTCACTTAGAGCGATGGGTGAAATGAGGTCAGCTGCAGCTTCGCTTGGTCCTCGGTGCTTCTCCAGTAAATTCAAGAGCAAAATCTCGAGCGGAAAGCAGCGAGGAGGAAGGTTGGCCGCGCTGGTATGTGAGTAAGGGACACCTTAGCAGCTCTGACGTGGAGGTCCAGTAGTGAATCTCTTTTGCAGGGTGAAAGACAGACGCATCTCGATAGCTGTTTAAGACGGCAAAATGAAACCACCTGCAGCACAACAAAACCCTGAAGACGGAGCCACCCCGTTTTGGTTCCCATTATTAATTGGGTTTTGGTTAATGGAGATGTTTGCAAAATTGTGGGGAGGAATTGTCACAGGTCAGAGTGTCTTGGTCCCTGTGCTGCTTACTGGAGGCCTCCAAACTTAGGCTGTTCTACGGGGCTCTGGCGCGGGGGAGAAGTGAAGCGGCATGTTCAGAGGCTGTGCGTCCCCCGTCTGATCTGTGTTCCTATTTCCTGGCTGACCCAGGCATTTATTATGCAGTCCTTTTATTTCCCATCAAAAAAGGTTAGTGTTTGACTGGCGGCTGCTTTTGGCAGGCAACCAAGGCTTGCATCTTAATATATGCTAAAGTGGGAATTACCTGCTTTTATTTTTTTTTAAGCATTTTTCAAAGATGTGGATGAAATTGGACCAGATGCAAAACAGACTCTTCTAGTTTCAAACTTTTTCTTTCCCCAAGTTTGCTCCCAGTGAGAGAAGATTGGGTCTGTGGAGGTGGCTAATTTAAAGGCAGGTTTTGCTTGCCTCAGTATTAAGGGTCTTTGCAGCAGGAGCACAGAAATCCTTATAGGATCCTTCAGATGTCAGGAAGAAAAACACCCTGGAGCTCATCCTGCTGCCGGTAAGTTGGTCCTGCAGTCCAGCCAAAAGCGGGTGATATCCAGTTATTCACGTGCTCATGTGTGGGATCGCTGCTATTGGCCTGGCTGAGCAAAGGAAGCATCGGGAAGGCGAGTGCTTCTTTGGAGCACGCATTCCCAAAGGCTCCCAAGGGAGTCGGGGGCTTAGGATTCAGGATAACGTGGTGTTATGCTACACAATTGAGTACGTAAAGGGTTTACAAATCACTTAAAGAGGCTGCTTTAAAAATCCAATGGTTTTGGAACCAGATCTATCGCTGTTGGCCAGGGTATTAGCTGGGGGAAATGCTTTTGAGCTGACAGGGCCGGTTGGCGTTTGAGCCCCGTATGTGGCCAGGAGGAGGAGCGCAGGCAGGGGCCGGCCCGGGGCAACGCTGAGGGAAGCCAGAGCTGAGGATGAGGGAAGGTCCTTGGTCCCTGCGCCCTCCCTCTGCTGGCTTAAGGCCTTGAGGAGCGCCCAGCCTGGTCTTGCCTGGCTGTTCCTTGGTCTTTGGGCTTCACGGCTCATGGCTGAAAGAGTCTCGATGCCTCCATCTTTTTTCCATCAGCTGTGGGAGCTGATTTACGACAAAACTTCATCTGGGTTCCACCAAGTCCAAGTATCCAAGTGAGAGCGAGAAGGAGTTTTCCTAGAGTATTTCCTGACACTTCCTTGTGGTTTCCATCCTGCGAACACCAGGAGAGTTTCAGAGCGAGGAAGGGCTGTTCACTCTTGCTACAGAGGCTGTAATTTCCTGCAGCCTGAAGCAAAAAACATTTGTTAGCCTTTCCAGCAGGCAGGCCTGTGGGGTTGGAATCATATTGAATGGGAGCTGAACAAGAGCAGGATGCACTGGGTGGATCCAGTTTGCTGTCCTGGAGACTCTCATCCTCATGCCCAGGAGCAATGGCCCAGTTTCATTCAATGCAAATATGTTTTCTTATGAAATCGCTGTTGAAAAAGGAGAAAATTCATGTGGCAGAAGGAATAATACTGGCTAAACTGAAGAAAACAAATAGCTAGATTTAAAAAGGAAAAAGAAGTGTCTCGGTGTCTTGCTGAGATGTTTTTAAATCTTTTTTTCCCCCCATCCTTTTGTATAACGAAAAGGCAACGGTGAACAGAAATCACATACTTAAATAGCAGCAATTTGTGCTGATGCACCTAGTTAAACCTGATTGCCAAGCGCTCGGGTGGAGTGTCACCAAGGG